GCTTCCTCGCTCCTTGTCTCTCTTTCTCCTCCGCTCAGCTCGTGTTTCCTGGAGGAGACGGATGCAGCTGCAGATCCACCAGCCGGAGCAGTTGCAGCTTCAGTGGGGTGTGAGCCAAGCGGAGACTTTCATCCAAGCTCCCTCTGGGCCTGGCCCAGGGGGACTTTCTGCAGTGGCTGGGGGTGATGCCAGAGTCTGCAGGTGATGGAGAGACAGGAAGGGCTGGCTGGGAAGGGGTTCCCCGTCTCTGCAGCCATCACCGACTGACACTCCCGGTCTTGCGAGCAAAGAGCCATGGGAATGGGTCAGTCAGTGTTTCATTTGTACCAGGGCTGAGTACCAGTGCCGCTAAGTAACCAGAACAACGTTACAACTGTGTTCATGATGTTGTGCTAATTACCAATTAATTCTGGGTTAAAGGGGGGAACCCTCCCCCCCCAAAAAACCCTCTACTATAGAGAAGTATACGCAGGCTGGACCTCATCGGCACAGCTGTCTATTGGGGAGATGTCCAGACTACATTGATAGAGCTAAGCAGGCATAACCCTGTAGTGTAGACACAACCACACGAAAAAGGGGGGTAGCATTAGTGTAGGAACATCACCTCTTGGGTTACGGCCTTGGAAGGATTCTTCCACTGTGTCTACACAGGAGGTTAGGCTGGCACAGGGTTTTTTTCACACCCTTGCCTGGCATAGCCATGCCAAGATAACTCTTAAGTAGAGGCCAAGCCTTGGAGTGATTCCATTGAAGCTGGCTGGTATGAACAGAGCGCACGGAGGAGAAGCAAACTGTGCTGTACTCCCGTGTTGGGTGGGCAAATCCTTTTAACACCGCGGGGAACTGAGAGAACTTAAAAAACAACAAATAGTCCTGCAGCACCTGAGAGACTAACAAAACATGTCGATGGTATCACGAGCTTTCATGGACACAGCCCACTTCTTCAGATGAACGAAAATGAGGAACTGAGGGTAGGTTTTCAAGGCAAGACAGAGTTGTGTTCTTCATTTAGAGTCACTCGCAATTTCAAATGACCTGAAAATCCCAATAACTTCTCTGTTGCTGTGGGTGTTTCTTCACTGCAGGGCTTAACTCGAAATAAGCAATGCTAATTGAGCTACGTCAATTGCGTCGCTTATTTTGAAATAGCTTATTTCGAAATTGGGAGCATCTACACAGCACTTATTTCGAAATTGAGCACTCTTCCTCCGACTTCCCTTATTCCTCATACAACGCGGCTACGTCTAGACTGGCATGATTTTCCGGAAATGCTTTTAACAGAAAAGTTTTCCGTTAAAAGCATTTTCGGAACGGAGCGTCTAGATTGGCGCGGACACTTTTCCGCAAAAGCACTTTTTGGGGAAAAGCGTCCGTGGCCAATCTAGATGCGATTTTGCACAAAAAAGCCCCAATCGCCATTTTCACGATCGGGGCTTTTTTGTGCAAAACAAATCTGAGCTGTCTACACTGGCCCTTTTGCGCAAAAGTTTTGCGCAAAAGGGACTTATCGCCATTTTCGCAATCGGGGCTTTTTTTGCGGAAAACAAATCTCAGCTGTCTACACTGGCCCTTTTGCACAAAAGTTTTGCGCAAAAGGGACTTTTGCCCGAACGGGAGCAGCATAGTATTTCCGCAAAAAGCACTGATTTCTTACAGTAGGAAGTCAGTGCTTTTGTGGAAATTCAAGGGGCCAGTGTAGACAGCTGGAAAGTTTTTCCGGAAAAGCAGTTGATTTTCTGGAAAAACTGGCCAGTCTAGACATAGCCTGTGGGTTATAGGAGTCAGAGGAAGAAGTCCTCCAGCTTGACAGTATTTTGACACTATTTCAGAATAACTGCCTGCTGTGTAGACGTGGACTAAGTTATTTAAGAATGGCACTAGTTATTTCAAAATAGTGCTGCAGTGTAGACGTATCCTGTGTGATACTTGTGGGTTAAAAGGACACAAAAGGGAAGTCAGGTTCGAACCTAGTTAAAAATAGCTGTTACAAAAAAAGCAAAGCTGATTCTGGGATGCATTAACAGGAGTGTTGTGAGCAAGACACAAGAAATCATTGGGCAGGGGGCTGGACTTGAGGACCTCCTGAGGTCTCTTCCAGCTCTATGATTCTAGGACTGTGTTAATTAGGCCTTAGTTTGAGTATTGTGTCCAGTTCTGGGCACCACATTTCAAGAAAGATGTGGAGAAATTGGAGGAGGTCCAGAGAAGAGCAACAAGAATGATTAAAGGTCTAGAGAACATGAGCTATGAAGGAAGGGTGAAAGAATTGGGCTTGTTTAGTTTGGAAAAGAGAAGACTGAAAGGGGACATGCTAGTGGTTTTCAGGTATCTAAAAGGGTGTCACAAGGAAGAGTGAGAAATATTGTTTTTCTTGGTCTCTGAGGATAGGACAAGAAGCAATGGGCTTAAACTGCAGCAAGGGAGGTTTAGGTTGGACATTAGGAAAAAGTTCCTAACTGTCAGGGTGGTTAAACACTGGAATAAGTTGCCTACAGAGGATGTGGAATCTCCACCTCTGGAGATATTTAAGAGCAGGTTAGAGACACATATATCAGGGGTAGTGTAGACCAGGCATATCGAACTCGAAGCCTATTGAGAGCCACACAAATGAAAACTGATAGGTTTTAGGGCCACCAAAGAAAATGTACTTCTATTGGAAAGTCGTAGTTATTTATGATAGATTATGTTTTAAGGTATATTTATAATTTTTTTCAGGTTTTGTTTGAATATAATACAATAACTTGGTGTGTAAATTTGTTATTTGCTCATATATAATAATTTTTAATTTAAATATAAATGTAAGGTACTTTTAAATTATTTTTATATGATTATTACTTGCTTTGTTGAAATAAAAACAAGTATAGATCGTGGTTATTCAAATAGAACAGGCTTCTGTGAAAATTTGAGATACTTTGTAAGTTTGAGATTTTGCATAAACATATAATTATTCATGCGATTGCAAAAAATGGACATATTTTCTGATATAAAAGTAATATCATATGTTTTGTGATTTTATTTGGGAATAAATAAATAAAAAGCAAAATATTAAATCAAATTTTTTTATTATTCACTATTGAGAATCAAATACAACAGTAGCATAAGAATAAAATATAAGCGTGAAAATTTCAATCTCGAGGATTCTTTCTAGAGAGCTAACACCACTTTTGTGATACCGGTTTTTCAAGATTTGGTTTGCTATTTTGAACCAATACTACTCTAATTACAGCTGGTAAATGTTCATCGCTTATCACATCACTTCATCACATCTGACGAAGTGGGTCTTTGCCCACGAAATCGTATGCTCCAATACGTCTGTTAGGCTATAAGGTGCTACAGGACTCCTTGTCACTTTTGCAGACCCAGACTAAACACGGCTGCCCCTCTGATCCTTGACATCACTTAAGCTTGATCTTTTGGGTGCTTAATAGCAGCTTACGTCCCATGCGCATGTGCAACTTGAGAGATTTTTCTTGGAAGGGCCATGGGCCCTATGCCTACTTTATAAACAGTGTAACCAGGCAGTAACTTAGATACTTTATAAACATGTAGTCGCGGGTCACAAAAAAATTCCATTGGGCCGCAGGTTTGACATGCTTGGTCTAGACGGTGCTGGGTCCTGCCGTGAGGGCAGGGGACTGGACTCAATGACCTCTCGAGGTCCCTTCCCGTTCTAGTGTCTGTGACTCTATGAAACATACCCCCATAGGAAGAGGAAACAAGCTAACAGAAACAGGGAGCAGCCTGCTCCTACAGCCAATAGGTGAGCCTGGGTGCAATTTGAACTGCTAAAAAACTGCCAGCAAAAAGCGGAGTTATTGCATTTTCACCACCATTTTAACCTGTTAGCTCACCCGATTTCTGACCTCTGGTTTTTCCAGAGGTCATTCTCAGGGAGAGCAGTGGATCTCTAGTGGGTCTGGAGATTTAATCCTCGTGCTGGGCTGACTCACCAGATCCCTGAATCCCGTAGCAGGCCTGT